GGTTGCAGTGAGCCGAGATTGCACTACTGAACTCCAGCCTGGGCGACAGAGTGAGACTCCACCTCAAAAAAAAAAAAAAAAAATCCTCATTGTAGCTATACTCTAAAACTTACGCTGGCTTGTTTATCTGGGAACACCTACATGTATTAATTCGTTGAAGATTTATGTCACATATATAGTGTGGCCTCATCTCAAATTTTCATGTGCTTAATTTTGAAACGAGAGTCTACTGGATATTTCCTTTTCTGTTAGCAATTAGCAGCAGTAGTAATGAAAGAATTAATATCTATAGAAAATTCTTTAAAAAAATCTAAAAATAATTTATATTTGATGTTATAATACATTATTTAATTTTTATAGTAAATTCACTAATCGGTTTTGCTTAGACCAGTATGGAAGAAAAGCCAGACTTGGAGTTAACACTTTGTAAGTTTATCTACACTCTGTTCATCTGTGGTTGGCAATATTTGATGCAGTTTATATTAGATTTATGTTTTTGTTATTTAGATTGTTTGGAGCTGAGATGAGGACAAATTCGTCACTTTTAATTTTTTGTTTGCTCCCATATATTTATTATCATTTTTTCCAGCTCTCATGGGGGAATGTGCTTTCTACATAGGAAGTAAAACCAAAACTAAAGCACACGTCATAGCCAAAGAAAATAGACATAATGTTTTTAAAACAGACATAATACTTATAAGAAAATGTTATGCTTTTGGAGTGCTTATAACATATGTTTGTTTATAGTTCTTTAAATTGTCCTAATAAAATTTATATCTCAAGGTTTTTCACTCCGTTCAAGAGACATGCACTGAACTTCTGAAGATAGTCGAGAAATACCAGCTAAGACTCAATGGTATGAAATCCTAGATATCTATCTGATAATTCCCATTTAAAATAAATATTAGCATTTTTTAAAATGAAAGATTTAATGTAATAGTAGAACAATTTTGTGAATAGCATCTTATGGCAGAATATGAATATTTACAGTGACCTGTTCTCAAAGGCGCCCCAGTATTCTCTCTTTTCTCCTCAGTTAATCAAATCCTCTAACCCAGATTTATGTTTTGCTGATATTCTTTTTTTTCTTTGAGACAGGGTCTTTCTCTATCACCCAGGTTGGAGTGCAGCGGTGCGATCACAGCTCACTACAGTCTCCACCACCTGGGCTCAAGTGATCCTCCCGCCTCAGCCTACCAAGTAGCTGGGATACCTGGCTAATTTTTGTACTTTTTGGTAGACACAGGATCTCACTATGCTGCCCAGACTGGTTTCAAATTTCTGGTCTCAAGTGATCCTCCTGCCTCGACCTCCCAAAGTGCTGGGATTACAGGTGTGAGTCACCATGCCTGGGCCTGCCCAGCATCTGAAATGGATTTGTTTCCATCACTTAAACCTCTTTCTTGACTCCCACTTGCCCTTGCAATTAAATTTAATTCCTCTGCTGCTGTTTACAGAAAAACATGATGTAATTGTCTGTATGCATGGTCTCTGTTCCTTTCCTTCCACTTTCTCTTGTACTCACTCCAGTCAAGTTTTCATCCGCATCACTCCACCAAATTTCTCTTGTCAAGGTCGTGATTAACCAACTCCTATCTAAATCTGGCTTATCACATTATTTAACACAGTTGATTATTTCCTATTCCTTGATACACTTTCTTCACTTGGCTTTCCGGATTTTCCTCCTCCTTTCTTGGCATCCTGCCTTTGCTGATTCTCTTCTCTCCTGGACCTGTTCGGGTTAAAACTCAATCTTTGGATCACTTCTCCTTTTTTAATTACCATGGGCCTGCTGGACATGGCGACCTCTCTAATCACACCTCCTAAAACTTCCTCCCCTTTAGCCATATTAATACCTTACATAGTAGGCATATCTGCATAGTGGAATCCCTAACTTCCTTTGTGTATTTGGTCAAATGTCATCTTTTTAAATGAGGCCCTCCCTGAACTGCATATCTAAAATGCAATACTCTCTGCCCTCAGAGGGTACAAAAAATACAGTACAATACAATGCAATGCAATGCAATACTCTTTTCTCTCAAAACTCCCTGTCCAGTTAACAATATTCAACATTCTATATATTTTGTCCATTGTTTTTCTTCCCACCACTAGAATATGCCCTCCCTAAGGGCAGACTTTTTTTTTTTTTTTTTGAGGCGGAGTCTCACTCTGTCGCCCAGGCTGGAGTTCAGTGGCGCAATCTCAGCTCACTGCAACCTCTGCCTCCCGGGTTCAAGCAGTGCTCTGCCTCAGCCTCCCAAGTAGCTGGGATTATAGGCACTCACCAGCACGCCCGGCTAATTTTTGTATTTTTAGTAGAGATTGGGTTTCACCATCTTAGCCAGGTTGGTCTTGAACTCCTATCCTTGTGATCCACCCGCCTTGGCCTCCCAAAGTGCTGGGATTACAGGCGTGAGTCACTGCACCCGGCCAGGACAGAATTTTTCTGTTATATTTCTGTGTCTACAGTCTAGAAACAATGGTCTAGCATGTAGTCAGTACTCGATAAATATTTGATTTCAATGAATCAATAATTTTTCTCATGTAGCTACGTAAATTAATCTGATCACTTTATAATCAGATCTTATATATTGTCCCATTAAAGAAAGAAATCCAATAAAGCATGATTATTCAAGTATTTTTTTGACTACCTGCCATGTGCTTTTCCCAAGGAAATAGTTGGAGAAACAACTTTTGTAACAAAAAGAGAGACAATGTAAGTAGTATGTAATTGAGTTCAGAATAATGATATAGACATAACTGAATTCCTAGGAGTGAAAAATAACCATGAATTAGAGTAATTGGTAAAGGCAACTCCATAGACAGGAATTGAGGTAAAACTTAAAGGATTTATAGAAGTTGAACATGTAGAGAAGAGACTTGGAGTTTAAAGAGCTTAAAGAATGAGAACAGCCTGCATGGACAGAAGAGTTTGTCATTGAAACTAATGGGAGGATAAAGGAACAAAGGAAATTTGGGGTCAGATTACTAATGACCTTATATATTTTACCAAGCAGTAAAAGGCCATCACAATCACTGGACCAAGTGAGTCCTGTCTTAGAAATGAAAATGTGAAGAAAATCAGCAAGTTTATATACCCTGAAATCACTAGATCTTTTAGCACTCTGGTAGAGCATTTCAGGATAAGGAAGAGATATACATATATAGATTTAATTGTGTATTTTCGCTTCAAGATTGTGTATAAATACGTGATTTCTTGAAGACAATTGTATTAATACATCTGTTGGGAGTAACATCAGACAAATGCAGTAGGTTAGTCCAGCACCATAAATTTATGGGAATCTCTTGACTGCGGGGAGAACACGTCAGGGAGGGGTCTCTGTAGATTTTGGCAGGCAGGTCTCAACATAGAAGCAGCAAAGATTCAGCCTCACTGACTGCCCTTTCTGCAATGATAAAGGTAAGCTTCAGTGATCATTTATGTTCAGTTGATAGTTGACAATGAAGTATTCCAAGTATTCAAAGTGCTTTCTGAACCACTATACCCAAATGAATGTTTTCTAGTAGGTTTTTTGTTTTGTTTTGTTTTTGAGGTGGAGTCTCGCTCTGTCACCCAGGCTGGAGTGTAGTGGCATGATCTATGCTCACTGCAAGCTCCACCTCCCGGGTTCATGCCATTCTCCTGCCTCAGCCTCTCGAGTAGCTGGGGCTACAGGCGCCTGCCACCATGCCTGGCTAATTTTTTGTATTTTTAATAGAGATGGGGTTTCACCGTGTTAGCCAGGATGGTCTCGATCTCCTGACCTCGTGATCCACGCGCCTCGGCCTCCCAAAGTGCTGGGATTACAGGTGTGAACCACTGTGCCCAGCCCTAGTAATTTTCATTGAGGTATATTTTATGAAGTTCTGATTCAAAGGAAATGTGTAAACTGTACATCAGCATTAAATTAGCGTGACTCCCCAAACCGCATCTGCTCTGTATCAGGTCGGTTGTTCATGGTTTTATTAGAGATGAGACTACAGACTGTGTAGACACCTTCCTCATTACACCATTGTGCTCTCCTTGGGTCACTCTTACAGGCATGGCGGCGGGGACAGGGGGAGTGGGGAGGCAGCATGAGGAGGCCTGAGTTCTGTTGCTGCCCCACAAATAGCCAGGCATTTACCTTTCAGTTTTAACTTTGATTTTCTATGAAGTAGGATGAAATTAGGCATGACATTTGTTGTTGTTTATGTACTTTAAGCTTATAATTGGAGTGCAGTGGGTTTTCTCCCCTTATTAGTCTTATTGTGGTTACAGGATCAGCTTACACTAGATCAGTATTTCTTAAATTGTGGTGAAGGACTTTTTTTTTGTTGCATGGTTTACTTTCAATCTGTTGTAAACTGATACCTTTGTAAAATTCAATAAAAATGAATTTTTAGCTGAGCACTGTGACTCGTGCCTGTAATTCCAGTGCTTTGGGAGGCCAAGGTGGGAAGACGGCTTGAGGCTAGAAGTTTGAGACCAGCATGGGCAACATAGTGAGACCCTGCCTCTAAAATAATTTTTTAAAAATTAGCCAAGCACTCATGCCTGTAGTCTAAGCTACTCAGGAGGCTGAGGCAGGAGGATCACTTGAGCCCAGGAATTCGAGGTTGCAGTGAGCTATGATCAAGCCACTGCACTCCAGGCTGGGCATCAGAGCAAGATCCCATCTTTTAAAAAAATAACTTTTAGAAAAATGAAATAAAATGCGTGAAAAATGTATTATAAGCTCACTTTATTAGATTTGACAAATATAAAATGCTCAAAGTCTCTACACAGTTATTCTCAGTTTCCTTCCTTCTTTGCTTGTCACAGCTTGGTAACAGAGGATTCTGGACCGATACTGGTCCATGGCCCACACTTTGAGCAGCAGTGCACTAGATGACAGTTTTAGGGTTGCTGGAGCAGAACTGTGGACATCTGTGGGTCTGGGATACCAATCATAGGAAACTGAAGCCAGGATGGAGTCAAGAATGAATTAACAAGTTTAAATAGGAAACACTTCGTAAGAGGCAATTATCCTAAAATACATCTCTGCACATTTGAAAATGCATCATTTATGGCTTTGTTTTGTAGTTTTGAGAGATTTTTGTCACTAAAAATCAGTCCTTCTCAAAGCGAGGTCCATGGATTCACTGTGTCGAAACCATCTGGAGTGCTGATAAGAAGCCAGATTCCCTAGACCTATGGAAAGTAGAGTCTCTGGAAATGGAGCCCAGGAATTGCATTTAAAAAATAAGTCTCTCTTCTTCTTCCCCCAAGTAAATCTTGTATAGAAAGTTATTGCTGTGAGAATTGTAGTTGTGTATGTGTTTTAAACAAATGATGAAAGGAAACAATTAACTACACTGTAATTTTTTTCCTAGTTATATCAGAGGAAGAAAATGAGCTAGGGCTCTTTTTAAAGTTTCAAGCGGAACGGGATGCAACTCAAGCTGGCAAAATGATGGACGCCACTGGCAAGGCACTTTGTTCTTCAGCCAAGCAAAGGTTTACCATGGTGGTTCATTATCTTGAATCTGTAGTCAATCTGACAGTTTTGACATATGTACTTAAATTTGCATATTTGTAAAGGTCACTGTTCATTCTAATAAAGGGTTAAAGAGAAATATACCACAGTTATATGTTTTGACACCTAATTCTTAATTACTAATTTTGTATTCAGAATAATTATTTAATGATTGATGTTCTTTTATTTCCCCTAAAATCAGACAAGTGTCAGTTATATTTCTCAACTGGTTTAATGTAACAGTCACAGAATGACTAACATCTTAAAAATGTGTATTTCCAATTTCACTTTTTGATACCATACTATAAATACAGTGGTACTTTTTAATTAGAAGAATTTTTTCTTCTTAATTACATAGTTTCCAGTTATTATTTCAGTTTCTAATATAATGATACCTACTGCAAAGAATCTCCTATAATTACTAAACCGAGCCCAAATCTTTAGCATTTAAGAAGAATAAAACAGTCCTTATCAGACCTATAATGATGGTATCCAATTTATATAGCTTTATTCTGAAACATCACGTCAGTGCAGAAGTCTATCTTGAAGGAAGTGACATGGAGGTACTAAGTACAGGGCCCTCCAATGGCCACTAAGCAAAAAGGAGGAATTGGATTTAATTTGTGTTTCTTAAATACTTGTTATCTTGTCCTCATCCTCAGCTGCTAAGAACTCCATACTCATTAGTTCTCCTAGCATCTCATCTACTCTTCCAAACCCAGGTTTTCCCTGAACTTGTCAAATGAAAGGCTTTCTGTTAATTGGATTATGCTTTATAAATGCAGGTTCTCTGTTCCTCTCAGAACTGTTTTCTAAATGGCACATTTACTTCTCAGGTTATTTATACATGGAATAACATCCAGAGTATTGCAAAATGACATATTTCCTAAAGTAATACTGGGGGAGGATTAGACACTTTTTTTTTTTTTTTTTTTTTGAGGTGGAGTTTCACTCTGTTGCCCAGGCTGGAGTGCAGTGGTGCCATCTCGGCTTGCTGCAACCTCCACCTCCCGGGTTCAAGTGATTCTCCTGCCTCAGCCTCCCGAGTAGCTGGGATTACAGGCACCCACCCACCATTCCCGGCTAATCTTTTGCATTTAGTAGAGACAGGGTTTCGCCATGTTGGCCAGGCTGGTCGCAAACTCCTGACCTCAGGTGATCTGCCCGCCTTGGCCTCCCAGAGTGTTGGGATTACAGGCATGAGCCACCGCTCCCGGCCAACACATATTTATTGATAATTCAGAGTTGGCTATATGATCCTTATTTGCTTTCAAAATCTCCTTAGGGAACTTAATAAATTTTTACTTGTAGATTCATCTTGTTAGCAAATATGCTTTGTCATTGGTTTAAACTTTGTTTTGTTTTACTTATGATGTGTTCAACCCTCTGATTTTTACCTCTCTGCCATTAGATTGGCCCTGTGTACTCCTCTGTCTCGTCTGAAGCAAGAAGTAGCAACATTCAGCCAAAGGGCGGTATCTGATACCTTGATGACAATTAATCGGATGGAGCAGGCGCGCACAGAATACAGAGGAGCTCTGCTGTGGATGAAAGATGTATCCCAAGAGCTGGACCCAGACACCTTAAAGCAAATGGAAAAGTTTAGAAAAGTATGAAAATGTATCCTTTTCCTTTTCTTGGTGTATGAAATATGGAACTGCCACAGAATAATTAAGATAATAAAATTTCAGGTGTTTGTTGAGAAATATATGTTTCATTATACATTCTTGGTTGCTTGGAGACTGTAGTTGAAGTACAAAAGTTTATCACACTTTTATTTTTACTCCTGGAGTGGCATCTTCACACCATCTACCTTTTTTATTAATTTTTTTTATCTGTTTCATGATAGATCTAAATTACTTCTTAAATGTGCTTGCTTGAACTTTTGAGATTCGTTGCAGGAAGAAAATAGTTTATTACAGAGGGACTAAAGTAATTTAAGTAAAAACTCATGTAAAATGATTGTTAATTATAAGAAAATATGAAGGTTATCAAAATTTTTATTCTGTCTCAATACAAAGTTTGGCCACAGACTTCATAAGCAACTAGGTATGAACATATGTTTTTGCTAAATAAACTCCTTATTATAAATTATAACCACTCATTGTATGATACATAAATAACAAAATTCATTTTATCATTCATTTCATAAATAGAGACCCCATAATAAAAATAATAATATTTAATTCTGATGGAGCCATGACTCTGGGCCAGATGTTAAGTGGTTTGCCTCATTGATTACACACAACAGCCCTATGAAGTAGGTGAATACATGGCCTCAGGCCACAACAACCTCGTATTCCATCCCTTTTACATCCTTTGACAGAATACAGTCCAAGGGAGTGATTGAACAACATTGTGAATGCGCTAAATGCCACTTAATTGAACACTTTAAAATTGCTAATTGTATGTTATGCAACTTTCACCTCAATTTTTAAAAGAAGAATAATGTATTAGTCTATTTTCATGCTGCTGATAAAGACATACCCGAGACTGGAAAGATATTTAATGGACTTACAGTTCCATGTGGCTGGGGAGGCCTCACAATCATGGTAGAAGGCAAGGAAGAGCAAGTCACGTCTTACATGGATGGTGGCAGGCAAAAAGAGCTTGTACAGGGAAACTCCCCGTTTTAAAACTATCAGATCTTGTGAGACTTACTATCACAAGAACAACATGGGAAAGACCTGCCCCCATGATTCAATTATCTCTCACTGGGTCCCTCCCATAACATGTGGGAATTCAAGATGAGATCTTGGCAGGGACACAGTCAAACCACATCAAATACAATCCAAGTCCCTATCTGGACCCTAAAAACCCTGCATGGCCTGATCCCTGGTCCCTCCACAACCACATGTTGTACTTGCTTCCTACACTCCAGGAAGAATGTGCTCTACCTCCTTGCTGCTTGTTCTTCTAACATGATAAGGTCTTCACCCCCTACCACTCTCAGAACCTTTGTCCTTGCTTGTCCCTAGTTCTGGAATGCTCTCCCCAGGGTCTTAGCATAGTCTGCTCATCATCTTTCTGTCCCAGTTCAAACATCATGCATGATCTCACCAGGGACTTTCATGTCATCAGTCATTCATTTCTGTTTACTTATTTGCTACTTTTGCAACTATATATTTATTTACTTCTTTTTTTCGTGTGCCTTCCTACCCAAGGATGGTGGGGAAGAACATTGTTTTGTTCACCACAGTATCTCAGAGCCTAGAACAATGCCTTGCATATAATAGGTACCTTATATTTGTTGAATGAATATATTAAAAAGTTGAGTATTCACACTACCTGATGGCATGACTCACCATTTATTCAAGAAATACAATAGGTCTCTACTGGAATTTATAAATATCTGCATGATTCAGAAATACTATTAATATTTCTCAGTGCTTTAACGAGGTCCCCTTTCCATTTATTCTTCTGCTCTTAGCTAAGTGCTATCTATGAATAGTTTTAAATGTTTCTTTTTATTTGGAATAGTTTTTTAAAAACGATTTGCTTTCCATCTCTTATCTCATACTTTCTCAGCATAAAGATATCTTCTGGAAAGAATCTCCTACAATTACTAACAGTAGCCAAAATCGTCATCATTACTCATGAAATATTAATGATACAGGGAAAAGGAATTAGTCTTTATTATAATTTATTTCTGAAACTATTTATTATGAACCTTGTACTATATTTATACTATATATCTGTAATAAAAATTAGCATTTTATTGCAGGTACAGATGCAAGTGAGAAATAGCAAAGCTTCTTTTGACAAGTTAAAGATGGATGTTTGTCAGAAAGTGGATTTACTTGGAGCTAGTCGCTGCAATATGCTATCTCATTCGCTCACTACCTACCAGGTACCCACCTCCATGGTCAGCATGTCCTTGCAGTAAAGATGAGTGGTGAGATTCCTTTTTAAAAGTTGTCTAGAGGGTGCAAAAAACTATGTGTGATTAGATTCCTTTGAATAGCAGTGTTGGGCTTAGAAACCAAAGTTTTCTAATTCTAAGTTCTATGTTCTTTTCATTCTGCCAAGTTGCCATCCTGTATCACTTTAACCTCAGAAGTCTCACTTGTGCTTATATTACCACAAATCACATATAAATAACACACAGTGAATAAGTTAGATATTAATAAGCAGTTATTGATTTTTACATATATTTTTAAATGGAAAAAATTGAATAAACTGTACTTACATAAGAAAAGAGTAATAAACTACAGGAAATGGACATTAACTCCTGCTTTTAGGGAGTCTGCCTATTTCAGTTCAGTACTGTGGGATTCAGGAATGGAGAAAGGATGCACTTGAAAATAACTGTGTGTGATATCTGTTTAGCATCTTGCCTGAAACACAACAGCTATGAGTTCAATTCTCCTTTATTCTCTCCATTCATCCCTCTCACTTTAATCAGGAACCCTGAAGCAGCGAGGAAAATTTCCAATTACTTGAGTTAGCTTGAGAACACATTTTTTGGCAAATCTCTCTTGAACTCTAGATGAAAGGCCAGATTTAGTGGTAATGTAATTTTTAGTGGTAAATGTAATTTTTCTCCAATTAAAAAGTTTTATATATTCCCATTAACATAAAGATTACACATGTGTCCCTCCTTTAACAGAGATTGGTATTTTTGTGCTTTTAACATTTCTCTTTTTGATATCTCAGATGTTCTAATCCCTAAGTTTTCATTCTCTTAGCTGCAGTTACTCTCTAGGTGGCTCCAGTGTGCATTCCTGTGCTATTTATACAGATAACACCCACACGTGCAGACAAAGATGCCAATTCTTATGCACAATCACTATTTGCAGTGCTTTATGGTTCCGAAAACTTGGAAAATTGAATTTGGTTCCTGCTGCTTCTTATTTGGCAACTGTTCATCTACTAAACTAGTAAGGAAATATAGCACTTAAAAAATCATGGAGGTGAAGGAGAACTGTAGTGTCACCTTTTCTTTTTTTGCAGAGAACACTGCTTGGATTCTGGGAGAAAACAGCTCGAATGATGTCCCAAATTCATGAAGCCTGTATTGGCTTTCATCCATATGATTTTGTAGCTCTCAAGGTACATTGCGTTCCATGTTCTTTTGTTTAGATGTATTACACTTCATTTAGGTGATAACATTGAAACCTTTTTTTTTTTTTTTTTTTTACCAAGGTTAATTTAAAATTTACAAAACATTGAGAAACATTCTCCTTCAGCCAAGGGTCAGCATTTTCCTAATTGCAAACGCTGCCAGCAACACTGAAATACATAGGAATACTGCTGGCAGGCTCAAGATATTAGTAGGACAGGGAAAAAGAGGGAGACAGTAAAAAGAGAATTTAAATGCAAAGGAGATAAGAAAAGGCTATGGAAAGGAAAAACTTAAGAGGAACAAGTGATGGAAAGTGGTGATGTGTTCTCAAAAATGAACAGATTACCTACCTGACGATATTAGAAGTTACAGAAAAACTTTGTTTTACTTTTACACTGATGTCATGGATATAGTTCATGATACCAACATTATGCTAGGTTTCAGTACCTTTTAACTTACCATTCATTCTGCCTTATTTTCAGTAAAGCTTGAAAGTGTTGCTGGCTGGTTTGTTCCAGCTGGATGTGGTATTTGTGATAGGCTCATATCTTGCATATTTCTGGGGTTTAGGATGAACATAAAGTCATGTTCTGATATGGCATCTTCCAGCCCCAAAGATGCCCTTGAATTAGGTTGTTTTTTGTTTTGTTTTATTTTGACTTTTTATGTAATAAATGTGTCGCTGTATGGCATACTGTGTATTTAGGCAAATTTTATATCCAATTTCTGCTCAGAATCAAAATTGAAAATCTTTAGCTGTATTTAGAGCATTGCGATACAGACTAGCAACACAGTTTAAGTGTTCTTTAGGCCTATTACTAAGTCGTTAAACTAATCTGTGGCTACCCCACATCACAGTATGTGCAGTTTGCACAGGCAGCCAGGAGAAACAAGTATATGAAGCTCAGTAGCTCAGTTCAGATTACAATAGCATACATGTCCTATATCTTTCACTCTCTAGTTCGGAACTTCCTATTTCATATGGTTCTTTAGAATTTATATTCTCATTTTCTTTGCAGAGAGGAAGAAACAGTCTTTCTATTTACTTAACATTGACTTTCTTATCCTTAGCAACTACAAGACACTCCAAGCAAGCTTACTGAAGACAATAAATATGAACAAATAGGCGATTTTCTTACTGAACAGCTCAATAAGTAAGCAGGCATAAGTCATCTGTGTCATGTTATAGAAGTCCTGGATACCATCATATGATACATCTGGAAAGAATTGTTTCTCCTCTTACTGAATATTTATTTCTATGTCATTTTTCCAATCAACACTAAACATTTGTGTCATAGTCTGTTTTGCTATAACAGAATACCTGAGACAGGGAAATTTATAAAGTAAAAAAGTTTAGCTCATGGTTCTGCAGGCTGGGGAGTTCAAGGGCATGGCCCTGGTTTCTGGTGAGAGCTTTAGTGCTGCTTTATAACATGGCAGAAAAGGTCAAAGGGGAAGCAGACCTGTGTGAAGAGGCAAAATCAAGGGGCGTGCTGGCTGTATAACAACCCATTCAGAAGCATTCCTGAGAGAACTAATCCAATCTCATGAGAGTAAGAACTCACTCATTACCATGAAAAAGGCACTAAACCATTCATGACGGATCTGCCCCCATGACCCAAACACCTCCTACTAGGTCTCCACCTCCCAATACTCCCACACTGAGATTGGGGTCAGATTTCAACAAGAGTTTTGATGAGGAGAAATTCAAACCTTAGCAATTTGTTTTGAAACCATATATATGTATGTGTATATATATATATAATATATATTTCCATTTTTTTCTTAATATCCAGATCCTACACAAATTTTTTACATTTTTTAACATAGCAGACAAAGGACATGACAGGAGTATCAAACTGATTGGGGTCATTAAGAGTCTGTCATTTGGGATACTGAGCCTTGTATTAAGAGCCACAAGTACTTCTAGTGACTCTTGAAATGGGCAGCTAGAGAGAAGAAAGGGACACGTACCAGCATCTGTGAAATAAACTATGAGAAATCTATTTCCAGAATAACATACATAGGACTGGGACTGGTTACCTGAAAATATGGGCTGTTGCCATGTACATCCTTCATGTCCCCTGTTTCCCTTTTATTATATTGTCCCTTTGTTTTTCTTTCAAAGCTGCTATTTAATTCTCATTTTAACCAGATTCAGTATATTAATGAACTCAGAAATAAGGGCCAGTGATAAACCATATATTGTTGAGTAGAAGGTGATCATGAGAGAGTGGTTTGTTATAAAGCCCAACGCGCCTTGGAGTTTGCCTCTTGGCATGTGTCCACTTCCCCTTTGACCTTCTCTACCATGTTATGATGCAGCACTAAAGCCCTTGTCAGAAGCTGGGGCCATGATCTTTAACTTCCCAACCTGCAGAACTAAATCAACCTCTTTTCTTTATAAATTACTCAGTCTCAGGTATTCTGTTATAGTAACACAAAATGAACTAAGACACAAATGTAACAGACATTTTCCCATCTTCTCTATGAGGAAATCCAAACCAATTTTTTTTGCTAACTTAAATGTATAAATGTTTTAAGATAAACATTGATCAAATGTCTAGTTATAAATTAAATTTGTGAATTTATATATTGACTTTTTTTTTTTTTTGACAGTGTCTCATTCTTTTTGTCCAGGCTGGAGTTCAGTGGCACAATCTCAGCTCACTGCAACCTCCCCCTCCCAGGTTCAAGCGATTCTCCTGCCTCAGCCTCCCGAGTAGCTGGGATTACAGGCATGCACTACTAAGCCCAGCTAATTTCTGTATTTTTTAGTAGAGATGGACTTTCACCATGTTGGCCAGGCTGGTCTCGAACTCCTGACCTCAAGTGATCTGCCCACTTCAGCCTCCCAAAGGGCTGGGATTACAGGAGTAAGCCACCACGCCTGGCCTATATTGACATTTAAAATCATATGTTACATGAACTATGTTAATTTAGTAAAATTTTTCCATTCTCATATTTCACAAGAGTTTTATTCAAAATCCTCTCATGTATCTTTAGCATTATGAGAGCTGCTTTTCAAGTTAACTAGTAGATAGCCAAGCTCTTCACTTCTCTTCCATCCAAGTTCTTTAAAAAAACATAATACTGTTAGGGAAAATTTCATTTCAGGTCATGAGTATTTATTTGCTCTGTAGGTTTATTTGTGTAGTATTTACAAGTAAATACTGTATAGATTTAAGTATCTTTAAAGATTTATTAAAAACAACTTTCAATACTAGCAACTGTGAGGTGATGCCCCAGGTGTAGTGAGTATGTCTGTGTTCAATTTATTTTTCTTTTTTTTTTTTTTTTGTTTTTAGACAGAGTCTTGCCCTGTCACCCAGGCTAGAGTGCAGTGGCACGATCTCGGCTCACTGCAACCTCCACCCCCCAGGTTAAAGCAATTCTCCTGCCTCAGCCTCCTGAGTAGCTGGGATTACAGGCACGCACCACCACACCTGGCTAATTTTTGTATTTTTAGTAGAGACAGGGTTTCACCATGTTGGTCAGGCTGGTCTCGAACTCTTAACCTCGTGATCCGCCTGTCTCAGCCTCCCAAAGTGCTGGGATTACAGGCGTGAGCCACTGTGCCCGGCCCCATTACTTTGTCTTAACTTTTTCTTTATTATATCAGATAGATGCTATAAATACCCAAAATTAGTATTGATTGAGGATATTTTAGGCTGATGTGTCTTGCAAACATCACTTAGTTGTTCAAAATAGGGTACTACATCTTTTCTAGAGTTCTTCATTCCCTTGATTTAGTTCACAAGTGTTCTTAAAACCTTTCAAGGCTTGAAAATGAAACTTCTTATTCTATGACTTTGATGGTGAAGGTTCTTGAAGATTGAGTACTGAGCGTGATGCCTGGTGCTTTGTAGATACTCAGTAAATGTTTATGGAAGGAATAAGGGGTGAAATGTCTGTATAGATCTATAAAAGAAGTAGGAAATGCACCAGATGTAGATTTTAGGGGATCTAGTGGACAATTTTATGTTTTCTGAGTAGAAAATTCTTTTTAACCATATAAAACTGTTTGGGGAATATAATTCACAAGTGTATTATAACAAAAAATCTACATTTTTTTTGTTTTTACTTCAGGCTAGTTTTGTCTGATGAGGAAGCAAGCTGTGAGAGAGAACAAGGTAAGATGGTAAATTTATTACTTTGAAATGGTCACATTTTAAATGTCAAAATAGTTTATCACAGCCTTTTTTTTTTTTTTTTTTTTTTTTTTTTTTTTGAGACAGAGTCTCGCTCTGTC